ACTCGTCGAAAGTCTCGTTCCACACGCGCGAAGCTTGTTTTAGACCGTAAATGGCCTTCACCAATTCCAGGCAGTCGAAGTCACCGTCGAGCTCGACAACTTCGGGAGCCATGCAAAACACGATCTCCCTCATCACGCCGTACAGGAATGCCGTCACCACGTCTAGTTGGTCTAGCGGCCAGCCAAAGTACTTGGCCAAAGCGATTACCATGCGCAATGTCACGTACTTGACAACCGGCGAGAACGTCTCAGTGTAGTCGATGCCGTACTTTTGCTTGAAGCCCTTGGCCACAAGGCGTCCCTTGTACTTCTCGATCGATCCGTCCGCTTTGCGCTTGATCTTGAACACCCACTTGGTACCAATAGCGCGTTGTCCGTTCGGCAACTTAGCAGCACGGAACACTCCTCGAAGTCGCATCGACTTGAGCTCAGCACGAATTGCTTTGCGCCAGTGCACTTGGTCGGGGCCGTTCACCGCCTCTTGGAAAGTCGCTGGCTCCGATAAGTCCACCGCAGCTTCGACTGCGTTGGCACTTGCACGCCAAAACACGGGGGAAGTCGATTCTTCATCTTGATCTCCAGCCTTTTCTTCTTCGTTTACGTCTGCTCGACGTGAAGACGAATTGGTCGGCGCACTTGCTTCTTCCAGTCCGGGTCGATGACGCGTAGTTCGCGGTCTTGTGGTAGATTCATCTTCGTCACTCGGGCGGCTCTTGCGCTTTCCCGCCTGCCTGTGCTCCGTCTGACGCGAACCGTCATTGTCGATGTCGAGAGATTCGAAGTCCAGGTCGTCAACGTCTTCATCGGAAATTGGCTCTGAAAGTCCAAAGGTCGATTCATCGAAGTTGACATCGCGACTGATAACCACCTGCCCCGCCTCGATGTCATAAAGTCGATACGCCTTGGATACTTCTTCGTAGCCCAGGAACAATCCGGCGCGAGCCTTAGGATCCCACTTGAGCCGTTTCTCCTTCGGAGTTAAGATGAAAGCTCGACAGCCGAAGACGCGCATGTGTTTCACACTCGGCGCGGACTTGTACACAATCTCGAACGGAGTCTTGCACTCGATCTTTGGTGACGGCAGGCGGTTCTTCACGTAGATGGCCGTCATCGCCGCTTCACCCCAGAAACACTTGTCCATCTTGGTATGGTGCAGCATGCTGCGGCCGATCGTAACGATGGTGCGGATGGCCCGCTCTGCCGTGCCGTTTGTCTGGTGCGCGTACGGAACCGTGGTTTGTTGCTCGATGCCCTCGTCTTCGTAGAAATCTTTAAGCGAGTTAGTCGCAAACTCCCGAGCTCCGTCGTGTCGCACGAACTTGACCTTCTTGCCAAACTGCTTCTGCACCTTCGTGATGTACGTCTTGATGCAGTCCTCGCTTTCTGATTTGGCACGCAGGCAGAAGCCCTTCATGCATCCGCTGGCTTCGTCCACGATCAGTAGCAAATATTTGCTGCCACCAAGCGAGGACTTCTCCATGGGTCCGCAAATGTCGAAGTGAAGCAACTCGAAAGTGTCGTAGCGACGCTTGTCACGGTTGGTAGGGAATGGTTTTTGGACCATCTTGCCTTGCTGGCAGCCGCGACACAGACTTGGTCCGCTAGGCTTGGAAGGTGCTTTCGCGTCCTTGATCATCTTGTTGTCGACCATCTTGCGAAGCACCTCGACTGGAGCGTGACCCATACGCGCATGCAGGTCGACCGTCCTTCCAGTTGTCGCCGCATTTGCTGATCGAAGAGGCGTGCGAAGCCAGTAGAGTCCATCTACGAGAGA